GACATCGTAGGCCAAATGTGGTAAGTAAGCATTTAATTCATGGAATGTCTCTACTACCGACTAACTGTTGTTCATTCACTGGGTCTCGGCAGTTTTCTTTCTTTCTTACTTTCAAATTGCTACATCTTGTAAGTACTAGAGGTAGAGAGCTGCAATTTGGCATGGAAGGATTTTTCAATAGCCCCTACATGTTCAGCAAATTTAATGGCAATCGGAGGGGGTCAGATCAATTTCCTTTTTTGGGTTGATTTTTTTTGTCTGGACCTTTAGGTGGTCCAATTGGTGTATCAGTTTCCTTCGAGCCCGTAATTCGCCTTCGGTTCCTGCCATTCCGCAATATGCAAAAATCAGTATTAAGAAAGTAAATTTATTACATAATAGAGTAATAACGTAATAAGTACCTTTGTGTCGAATTGTAATATTGCGTATATTGTAATAGTGTGGATAATGACGAAATGAATTCATTAGTATGAGAGTCAGATGGATCATGTAGTAGTTCGCAATTTCCTTTTTACCTCTCGTCGTTGAGTCATGAATTACATTTGCTCTCACTCAAAATATAAAAAAAGCTTCCAAATGCATACTCACTTTTGTAGGTGTTGGTATGGTCTGATATACGAGTAATCTCCCAAACGCTGCAGCTCATTATTATGATCAAACAACCCATTTCTCAATTAATTAGACATTACAAAGGCCTTATGGAAATCGTTAAATAAAAAAAGGTGACTCACTAATGACAGAATGAGACTTGTCCAATTCGAGGCGCTTTTCCAACTTCGTCTGGGGGTACTGAGAGGGAAAGATGTTCTTCACGACTTCCATAAAGGTCGTCACTATTCTCACCATTTCGATTCAAAGGTGGAACCGGGTAGACTGTATCTGTCACACAGAGTTCAACAGCGGAATTCCACTCCTGATATACTGGAACCGAGGGCTATTGATTGCCTCGAGGACTGACGACGAAGAGTCATCAGCTTTGTAGATTTGAAGTCTGAAAACATTAGCCAAGAATGTCTTAAGGACTATACGAATAGGTGGTACGAGGTATTCGAATGGGTGAGATACGNTGAGGCAGAGAAAAATGAAAAGAAAAAAATGCGTTGGGCAGCGAAAAGAGCCTGAGAGAAATGGAAGGGAGAAGTTTCGACTTTCGATACACATGGACGACTCGATGCGTTTCCTAACTGGGAGATAGTTCTCAGGATTTTTATTACCCTTCCCTCACCGATTGTTTCGTGTGAAAGAAGCCTAAGCAAACTTAAGTTTATCGAGACACATGTCCGATCCACGATGGGCCAAGAAAGGCTTTCCATCGAAAATCAAGTAGCGAAGGAAGTGGATTTTGACCTTATCATAGACGTCTTCGCATCTCGGAAGGCAAAGAAAGCAGTGCTGCAACTATCGAGGGAGACCCATGAGGCTGCCAACGAATACCCCTGAGCTCATGACTATTCTGGATACTCGAATACTAAGATGCCGACTGGGCTTTGCCATTCGGATTCACTTCAACAGAGGGGGTGCAAACTTAGACGTATACACGTAGATACTACTTCGAGGGACGGGAGAAGTGACAGACGCAACGAGAGGGAGAAAGCCAAGGGGAGGGGAAGAGGGAGGGAGCGCCACATGGGGTAATTACAGCCCTGCTTAGGAGCATACCTGGCATATCTCACGGGAAGATGAGCGTAGGTGCAAATTTTAGCGAGAGTAATTCTAGACTCATGGACCCTCACGATCATGCGAGAAAAACCTTTCCAGGCTCACTCTCATGCACATCTATGAATTCACCTGTTTCGCGATCAAGCATATCCATTGTGACCGTGAATGTGGCTCACAAAATTGTTTATGATGCGAGTCACGAAAGATATAGACAGAGTGAGGGGTGGGGTGGGTGGGGGGGAGAAGGAGAGAGGTGCTGAATGAAACTCATAGGAGTTACGGCACGACGTGGACCGCCAGGAATCCATTTTGGAACCAGTTTCTGCACCAAGGAAAAAAAAGCTGAGTCGAGAGGAAGCTCTCTGGCGGTGGATGAAAAATTCTTTCCTCCATTCTTCCTTCTTACTCGCAAACAAACACGCTTCCCTATCATGAATTCCTTTCTTGTCACGCTCTCAATTAGAGTCTCGTCAAAATCCCTGCGTAAGTCACGACTCACGAAAAAGCCGTGACTCACGCACACCTCTAATGAGAACGGTTTCGCGCGCCAATCGGTTTAGGAACCGCTGCATGAGGCGTCGCTCCCACCATCGCATGTGTCGTGCCTTGTGCGGAGTCACAGGCAGGCGGGTTTACAATGTTTGGAGTCCTCCGGTCGGGTAGTCTTTTGTCTTCCTTACGCATGAAACGGTTGAGCATCTCTTCACTCGAGCCAAATTATCGGGTGCCAAGAGTCGGACCCGATGCCATCTCTAAGCAGCCTAGCATGGCGCCTCTCACCGCCGTCACCATGTGGGATCCCACGTGCAAACTAGTCTTTTGACCCTTGCAATTGGTTTTTTTTTTTCCCCCCCTCCAAATCAGAATGGACCGATATAAGTGCTGAAATATGAACAGCTCTCTTGTTTAGACACTTTCCACAAGTTCTCAGTTCCCTGCTCAATAAGGGAGGACGGATAACATAGGCCTGGACATGAAGTCCCTGGTTGGCCACTTTCCTTCTTTCACTAAAGGTTTCAATTGTGTCAAAACAAATCTGCAAGCCGAATGCTTCAAATAAATTTCCTATTCTCGCAGGTCTTTAGAAGTTACCGACGCCTTCTGAGGACCTCTCAACGTGTGTTTGATAAGGACTTCCAAGCCCTGCAGGGTAAGTGTTGGGTCAGTAAATTGGCCTGACTGCTCTGGCAGCAACATTTCATCTTGTAGCTCCTTGAACACAGTGAAGAAATGATATCCCATGACTCTTTTTAATACTTTGTTACACAGCTGCTAGGGAAGAGATCAGGAAAGGGTTCAAGGACAAGAAGCACATCAATGACACTGAAACCATCACCCAGGTCAGTTGCCATCAAATTTCACATATGGAGTTGGTAGCTGAATTGGGTTACTTCAGTTTAATGACAAAGTAAATGCTGTGTTGTCTCCTATTACCTACAGTTGATCAAGTATGCTGATGAGGTTGAGGAAGTTCTCAGGACATCTGTGATTCAAGGTCAGAGGATGGATGAAGATAAATATCGTGAGTAAATTCTTGCATTTCCTTATGTTTCTTTTCTGGAACAAAGGTATTCTCTTTCTTTATGTCTCTTTCAGGTCTAATGGTGAGGGAAGATGTGCAGAAGTTTGACAACATACCCTATAGAGATTCATGATCTAGATGATGAGAGTATGACTGATGTATAATATGTTTTGGAGTGAGTAAAGTACACATAGACAGACATAAAGACGTATTTTACTTTTTTCTCACTCGTAATAAATTCATAAAGAATTAAATACATAAATTGATAGACATCTCAAAGTCACAAAAACAAGGGAAGTCTTCTGATTGCCCCTTTGTCCGACTAGGAAGAAACAGTTAAAACAGAGTCTTTCCTCATGCTGAGAATAAACTCTTACATTGAGCAATGGTGCAATGGAGCAATATGCAAAAAAATTGTGAAAATTCTGAGTGAGCAAAAATGCAAGCCACAATGAGACCGGCATGTTGAGAAGAGATCACATGGTGGCACTGGAGCCTCAACATGTCTAATTCATGGTCCTGAGTGCAGGTTGCAGAATTGGCACAAAAGAATTTGAAGAAACATGTTGAGAGGCTTGAAATTCTGACATTTTTGAGATCAAATAATAAGGTGCAGGTTTTGAAGCAAGCATTCAGGTACAATCAAGGCCTCCTAAGAAATTTTCATTCGTTTCAATGGACGGGGAGAGAGGTCGAGGTGACTGGGGTTGACTAGCCATTGATGTCTCAAGGCATCCTTGGCACGAATCCGAGATGATGGATGGTAAAGCAGCATTTTCTGTATGGGAGTAAGAGATAAACAACATGGTGAGGAGTAATATTTACAAATTGTTTCCTCAAGAAAGGACAGAAGCAAAACCTTAAGAAGATCAAGGCCATCATTGTCAAGGGAAGAAATGATTGAGGAAAGGTCTTGTGGTGCCCATTTTGGAAACTCCCAGTCGATGTCTGCAACGCCTTCACATAGTCTCTCAAAATTAGCCTTCTTATAGTGGTACGAAACCTTCCTCGGTTTAACGTTACTCTTCGTCCGCTTGATATTCCACGTCATCCCGCAATGGTCCGAATCTCCCAAGTTATCCTGAACCTAAACATCTAGTGCCAGATCATCGTTCGTGGCGAGAGCCAAATCCAATAAAGCTTCCTCGCGAGTCGGTTCTTTCACGTGCTGAACGAGAAGGGCATCCTGAACCGCAGCAAGAAATTCCCTATCCCTTTCACTTCCCCCTCGCGGCAGCGACCAATCTATGTTAGGCATGTTAAAGTCTCCGAAGAAGAGTTTGGGGGGCTATATCAAATTCCTAGCACGATCTTCCCTTGTTGCCCCACCGATTTCGCACCATAAGTCTTCGATTGCGCGATGAGATCTCTAACTCGAACGCTCAATTCAGTTCTAGAGAACAACATGACACCTCCCCTCTTTCTGCCCACCCCATCCTTACGCAAGATGTCGTACCCTTGAATCTCGAATTCCTTATCCGAAATGTGAGAACAACCCCAAAACTCGATTATTCCGATGACATCAAAACCGTTATCTGGTGCCCTCCCCCTGAGCTCGTCCATTTAATTACGTAAGCAGCGTGCATTCGCGTAGAAACACTTCACTCTTCCGTCTTTCCTGCATACCAGTACGCGGCGTTCTAAAGCTGCTCGTAGTGGCTATCCCTTGCTCGTGATCCCATCCCCCCCACCTACAACCCTGAAAAAGGCTCATTCTTTGATCCTTCATGATAGCCAATCCTACTGCTCCAGCTCCCTCTTTCGAGAAATGTACTCCGTCCCTAGCCATCAGACTTTTACAATACCTCAGAGTCTCCCTAGTGTTCAGAAACACTACCCCCTCCACGATACATAACTCCTCTAACCAGTCGTTAACCCCTTCCGACCTGACCTGGACCAAGTGATTCCTCCCTTATCTAGCCGGCTCGGGATAGCGCGCACTGTCACCCGCACCCCGATCTTGCCTCCCGACATGCCCTAATAGCCTGCCCATGATGAGTACAGAATCAGACTTGGGAGTATCGTTGGTCCCAACGTGAAGGACCACCAACACTTCCTCGGCTGACTCGGAACACACCACCGATCCGACCTTAACCCTAATGTGTTCAATCCTTGCACCGGGGGAACTGACTGAAAGAAACCTGAGCTCCTGAATCTTTTCCCATCGCTGCCTCTAGACGCCTGACGTTCGAGTCACTGACGATTACAAGGGCCCGCGTTTTCCCTTCCCCTTCAACACGGCCTGTGCTCGTCCTGCCGACCTCTCACCTGTTCCCACCCCGCCCTCCGATCCCTCATCTGAGCTGACCTCCCTCAAGAGGCAACCATGTTCCTGAGCATACATAATAATGATAATACCTTACCAGTCCCTGAAATACTTTCATATGCAATCATATGTTTATGGTGAAAACATTCAAATGCAGCAATGAGTCTGGAGTAAAACATTATATTTGCAACCATCTCATTATATTTGATGTACTATATCTCATAATGATTACGTTTTGGAAATTACTAATTTATGAGCCAATATAATAATGAGATGGTTAAGGTGAGAATGTAACATTTTAAAAAAATACTGTAACCAACCTGTATCCCCAAACTAGTATCTGCTGTTTTAGTCTGACAACACAAATCTGAAGTTCTTACTCACTTTTGTGAGTCTGTTTAAAAATTTCAATTATTAACAGGCAAAAGTTCAAAAACATTGCATGCCTCAGGGCAAGTATACCCAGTGATAATCACTGACTGCTTCTGAAGCTGTCACCCAGTTGTTAGCCTGCAAATTAGTCCTTCACTGGTTTAGTTGTAACTGCATTATGTAGAAACAGTCAACCCAGTCAACTAATTCCTTATAATAATTAGAGCTTCATGGTCTGGATATGATGTCCAGATCATAAAGCTCTAATCCTTCCCAGACTTCCATTACTTTGATACTCACCTAACCTCTAGACATGAATCAAAACTGTGCAATAAAAAATTCCATTTGGATCTGAAAACTGGAACCAACATGGTCTTCCATAATCCCAGATGACATTTTTCATGGGACTCACATTTGCTCAATGTGGTCCTCCAACATCAGGCTAGATTGGCTCAATGTGGATTATATACTTAGGCCCCCATGTAAAAGTGACAGTTGGGTCAATGTGGGACCAACATTGGCAGGAAGCAGGATAGTAACATGTAACCCACAGAACCCAGTTTTTGCTCTGTATTGGCCAGCTTCATTTCATATCATATACTTGAATCCATTACCCAGTAGAGGCATCCCCATCTGCAGTATGGGGCCTCTACTAAGTACAACTGCCTGCCATGCAGATGTCTTTGCCCTGGACAGTACAGGAGTTGATCTTCCATTGAATGTACTAATTATAGTACAAATCAGAGGAAGATCTACCTCATATGGTTCAATGAAGTATCAGTGAAATCAGTCCTTATTTTCCTCATTTAGCCATTAAAATGAGAAGGCAGGGGATTAAGTTCATGGATGCAATCAACTTTCTAAATCTTCTCTTTGGATAAGGTCACCTCATTTTACAAAAGGGTCCTTATTAGGAATATGAGTTTTTTCATGGCCTGGGCCCCATGAGCCTGTCTCCAATATGTGGATAGCAAATGATGAAGTATCTGCCTTGATGGATTCCTATAATGAGACAAGGCAAGACATATGGCAAGGTACTAAACACTCTTGTGAGGGATGATTCCAGGGAAAGAGGGAAGGGCACTTTTGTGTACTGTGCAAAACACGAGATCCACATCTCCTCCAGGAGTTATGTAGTTCTCAAAGTGAGGATAATCTCACATAGGGTTTACATTGTTCCCAACATACAAGTTCTGCCAATGTTTCCCACCTTTACCCAATGTAGGGTCAATGTTACATGTTATCTGGGATGGTTCCTGCATGCATAGAGTAGACCTGTAGAGTAGACCTGGTTCCATAATGGTTTTTAGCTGGGGATTCATCATGGAACCATGGTGGTTCCTAGCTGGACAATCAGTGTACATCCATTATGGAACCAAGGTGGGGGCTTAGAAAAGTAATGCAATTCTACCTTATAACCATCAGGGCAAAATTGGAAAGACGCACATGATTAGGGGGAAAAACTCATTGAAGTTGTTCTAGCTGGGGCATTCTGCACCAATTGCCCACACATCCAAGTGACTGCAATGTTTATCCCTCCTGAAGTCTTTCTTTTTTCTTGGAGATCCAGCATGTCACACTTTTCAATTGTTAGGAAACTTCTATTCCCAAAATGTTTCTCCTTCTCAGTCTCCTTTCCTGAGCACCAAAAGCAGGAGAGAAATCACATGAGTTAATCATTCTTTTGGCTACGATATTATTAAATTACTGAGGTGTTTTGGTAAGAGCAATAAATTTTCATTTTTGCCTTAGTCCTGTACAGAAAATTCTGGACACCAGGATTCAAGATGTTAGATCTGCCAATTGCAGAGTTGTGCAAATCTTTGAAGACTCATTCCCAGTAGAGGTGGGGGATAACTGCTTCCTATACCTAGGCTTCCAATCTATTTTAAACATTTAAATTTCATTCATTCATCATCTTACAAGTTCATTAATTATCTTGGGCATTGGCCAAACACACACACTGGTGCTGGAGGAATGGAATGCCTGTGCACCATCCACATGGAGAGTGTAAGTGAAGGTAGATGCATCAGCTAGGATTCCCCCTGGACTCATCAGTGACATATAATCTTCCTCATTGTAAATGTCAGAAACTTTAGGAGGGAAATAGGAGAGCCATCCTTTATCCTTGGTGCAAAGTTTTCCTGCATAGCTGGCAGCTTCCAAAATAGTCATGATCTCTCTTACTGAGAGAATCACAAAGTTATTCTCATACTCCTGTCTCAAAATGGAAGCAGCACATATTGCACATGCCAGGTTCTCCTTAGATTGGCAGATTGGAGAAGGCTGCTTGCATGTACTTTGCACCTCTTACAAAAGAAATTGAGTTTTGGTGGCAACTTTTGAGATCCAAGGACATTCTACACAGAACATAGCACACCTGGAATCACTTGTTTTTCCAAAAATCTTGCTCACTAGGGAAAGCAGATCATTCTAGCCCTCATCATAAATGTTGTACAGCAAAGGCAATGATCACGGAAAACACATCCAGTCCACATTTTCCAGGGAAGTATTTGATAGCTGTCTCTTATCAGAATTTCATGCAATGATTCTTC